TCAATTCTGTGAGTGGAATAGTGGGAATGAGTGTGTTTGAGATGGCGAGGTTGGTGCAGGATAGAACGGCGTCTAGTTCTCTTGTACACAGGGTCACTATGAGTCGTAAGCGACTTGACGGCACATAACAACAACAACAGCATCATGATGTTGCCTATTGGTGCAATGGTGAGGATTTTTCCCCTCTTGATGTTGAGGTATAAATACGTACCTTTCATCATCTTCAGTAAATGCTTCAAGTATTTTTAATTTTCTGCAAGTAAAATTGTGTCGTCTGCATGGTTGGTGATACGCCTTCCTCTAATCCATGGTGTTTCACATTGGCAGATTTTTATGAGAAATATTAAAATCATCAAAAGGTTTGATGGGCAGTTGACTATATTAAAAAAAAGATTAATGACTAGAATTTTGGGAAATTTGGGGTTATAACCAAAATTATTTTGTGTTTTAGGTTATTTACATCTAAGTATGGGATAATACTACTTTACTCGTACAGCATTAACATTGTACTGATGCTTGAAAGATTAAGGATTCAAATTCAATAGCAACTCCCAGGAGAAAAATATGGCATTCTACTTCCCTTAGGCTTACTTCTAGGAAACCCTGTGCAACAGCTCTAATCTGTTAGATACAGTTGCCAACAGTCAGAATAGATTAAAAGTACAACAACAATAAAATGCAGCATACAATATTATTTGCATATTATATGCAATACTTACTGTTTATTCATTCTCTGCTAAATAACATTAACAGATTTTATTAAAATTGTTGCTTTTTATTATAAGACTAGTAGGTCATCACTGCAGAGTAATCTGAAAATACTAAATTATAAATATTCTAATTATATGCATCAAAAACCAGTCTAGTATTTAACACGCTATTTTATCTTTCATATCTCTCTATAGAAAATGATTTTTGCATTCTGTTATTCAAGTATATACAGTTATGTGATTATGAAAAAATTTATCACACTTGCCTTTATTTACTTGTTATTAAGTTGAAGTTTCACTAAGTACAATTATCTTATCAGATAGTTTATTGTATCTACTATCTAAGATTTCATATTATTTTTCATCCTTATCACCAATATAGGAAATTGTTGAATATTTAACTCCATCCTTTTGGTATTCACTCAACAAATATTTACTGTAGAGCTCTTAATGTATCTAGACTCTGAGAAGCAATGGCAGTGATATCATGTAGTTTAATGCTCTTTGTGAAGGTGACTGTCCAGTTTTGGAGACAGACATTACTCTTCTAATTGCATCTATAAACTTGAAGTTATACTCATGAATCATAAAGGGAAACATGACAAAATATTAGCATAGATTTCATTTAAGGAGTGAATATCTGGATGCAGGTTGTACTGTTAACTGTACTTTTGGATATATTTAAAACGTCTCCAAAAAGAATAGTAATTTTTATAGTTTAAAGAAGTTAAAATGATTAAGAATGTGGGTAGTTCTGGTGGCTAGTCTATAGAGAATTATACTGTTAACCAAAAGGCCATAACTTTTTGACATTTTGAATGCACCAGCTGCTCTTTGAGAGAAAGATGGGCTATTTCCTCCTCTGTGATACACACATCAGAAACCTGATGAAGGGTCAACTATAGGTAGCATCCAAATCAATGGCAGTGAGAAAGAAATTATGAAAGCAGCTAGGAAAACATTCAAGGGAGAAGTCTGACATCATCTGGGGTCAGGAGAGGAGTTCCTGAGGAAGTGTTGATTGAAGGTAATTACAAGTTAGAGGAGTTCCAAATGTATTGGGTGGGATGGGAAGGGGAGTAGAATGAGAAAGGGAAATTGGATAAATGTAGGAATATAGAATATTTGGTAGGAAACTTACAGTGCCTCAGGTTTTGCCAAATGCAAAGACTGAGTTAGGAACAGAATAAAATAAGATAAGGGCAATTGAATAGGGATTTACTCTAGTAGGGTATGCACATAATTAAGTGGATACTGAAAAATCTCTGCATATTTCTCGATCTGATGAATTGGCTGCACTTTCTCCAAGACATATCGGTTCTTTTTTCTTTTCCCCCCCTTAATTTTAATGAAAGTTTACAGAGACTTTGGATTTACGTTCATTCATTGTTGCACTTTTCTCCCTGCCCAACCTCTAGAACATAAATTTTTTTTCTATAAAATTTGTCAATTTCTGTATTTTCAATGACAAAATACCTCCCTCCATTTCTTCTCTCTTTTAACGCTAGTGGTCCTTAGTAAATAGCATGAAAATGATATTTAAGTAGTTATGCTTACAACCCCAAAGTATGTTGTTTGAATCCACCTATTGCTCCATGAGGGAAATACAGGAGCCTCCTCTTGTGCCATTTGCAGCCTCTGGAAACATACTGGAGGGTCAGCTATGAGTGGGTTCCATAACAACAAGAACAAGAAGAAATCTCCAGTAACAGGAAAGCTGAAAGTCCAGTCAAAACTTACTGGGTGATTGACAAAATTAGATAGAACAAGTGTTTTCTCTACATTAATGGATATTTAGGGATCTTGAGTGGCATAGCCCTTAAGGAGTGGCACTGTTAATATAAAAGTGATGTGTTTCTCTGGGGATTTGAATGCACCAGTCACTCTAAGTGAGAAAGATGGGCTATCTCATGCCAGGCTATTTATAGCCTCTGAAAACCCACTAGAGGGTCAGCTATGAGTCACTTTGAACTCAAAAGCAATCAAAAAGAGTGAGAGTGAAAAATACACATCTTAGAATTATGTGCCCTCAAAAATCACACAGTATGAACACAAACACACACACACACACACACACACACACACACATTTTAGATAGATAGATAGATAGATGATAGATAGATAGATGATAGATAGATAGATACACATACATATATATGTATATATATGTGTGTGTGTGTGTGTGTGTGTGTGTATATAAATACTAGTAATCACATCAACAATTATTCTAATACTTTAGCCATTTAAAAGCACATGCTTAGTATCATTAGTCATATTAGTCATGCTGATATTGTGGTGCTCATACATGATTTTCCAGAAAGTCCTTTCAATGCTACCTTTGAAGAAAGCCTATTTTCAACACAGTTATTTTTCCTGTTAGTAGATAAACAGGATCTGTATAGAAATAGATGTTGATATCTTCTTTATTTATTGAGAATTAAGTGGCCACCAAGGATATTCTGGTTTTGAACACCTTGTATTTTCACCTGTGTTTTTCTGTGTTTACCTCTTTGCAAGTACACAGATTTTTTTCGATTGATTACAAGACGCTTGGTTGCATTTTTCAGTAATATCCTGCTGTTTTGACAGCATGATCAAATTTGCATGTCCCATTTAGGTGTTGTGGAGAGATGCCTGTTACCATAGCGAGGATTATGATGTTCCAGATCAAACTCTAGTCACGTGATGAGGATGAGTTGGGCTATGGCCTTTGAAAAGCCATATGCAAATATTTGTCTTCAAAAGTACAGCTGGCTCTTCATGAAGGACTGGATTGTTTAGAGTGGTTATGTTTTCAGTGAGTCATCAAATGAGAATTCTGTCACCATATAATTTCCCTTTTTGTGTTCATAAACATCACTGCGCTCTCCCTCTACTCCTGTGGACAAAGAATGAAATCCCATATTGCATTATTTGACCTACCATTGAAAGTATGTATAGTAGCAAGTTTTCTTGTGTAACTTTTCCAGTTTTCAAAAATAATGCTTTTAAGCTGTCCTCATTGCATAGATGTACTGTTATATTACCCAGAAATCAAATGTAGATGATATTCAATTCTATATCAGTACTGTAGATGCATTCATGCAAGTTAAGAATAGTCTCCATGTTGCGCCTTTCCTGAAATCATTTGTCAAAGAAAGCAAACAAACAAAACCCAGTTTTTTTGTTTATTTTTAATGTTACTTGTCAATGTAAAGACTCACTGGTGGCTTAGCTCATCACATGTCATGCTGCTGGCCAAAAGATCAGCAGTTCAAATCCACCAGGCTTTCCATCAAAGAAAGAAAAGTCTCCTCCCCTCAAGACTTACAGCCTTTGAATCAAATACCTGACTGTGGGTTTTGTTTGGTTTGTCATTAAGGAGACCTGATGGCACAGTAATGAAAGTGTTTGGCTGTTAACCTAAAGATTAATGGTTTGAAGGAAGATGGAAAGTAAATCACACAGGACAGTTCTGTTCTGTCCTGTAGTGTCATTGAGAGCTGGGGTAATTTCCTCAATAACAGGTGGGTGGCCAATTTAAGAAAGGAGAATAAAGTAACTTAAAAAGATTTTTAACAAGGTTTCCCAGAGCCAGAAGTTTGGAAAAGTGTTGTACTGCCATTCAGAAAGATATTAGCAGTTTAAGATAACAGTGTAATATCAGTTTTACAAAATGGCTTACTTGGTATGCAATTTAATAAAAACTATTATAGCAATTCTTTAGCATCTATAATAGATATAATCCAAGTTTGGTGTAACATAGAACATTAAAAGGGATATGCCATAAGTAAAAAAAAGAAAAACAGAAAAGAATTTTTTTTTTAAAATAATAATGTCCTATGACACTCTTTGAGGCTTATGAGAGCTCTGTTTGCCTTTCAGATCCCCAGCTCAAGGGTATAGTGACCAGGTTATATTGCAGGCAAGGTTACTACTTGCAAATGCACCCCGATGGAGCTCTCGATGGGACCAAGGATGACAGCACTAATTCTAGTAAGTGAAAACTTCAGACTGACAGTAAAAACTTCATCGAAGTTGTGTTGTTACTTAAATGACTTTGAAAATGCACTGATACCTATTTGCCTATGTTGGTTAGTTTTTACAAATTTCATACACTAGAATATTATTTACCTTTTTCCTGAAATAGTTAAATGAAAATATTAATAAAGCAACAGAAGAAAATTGTGAATGTAAGGTATTCTTCCTTGAAATAATTGGCATACCTAGCAGATTATTGTTACTTTTTATCTTATTGTCATTTAAAGTGAAATTAAATAACTAGTACACATGACATACATGTTATTTTTGAGTATATCATTTTGTCAGACCTGCAGTTTCCTAAAGGTAATTAAAGACCTGTACCTATTAGTTAATTGGGGGGAAAAAGGTACAATTTTTTAAATAACATTTATATTCAAAAAAGTAATGCATTTCTATAGAGAGCAATGGAAGCCTAATCAGTTAGCAGTTGCACTGCTAACTCAAAGGTTGAGTCTCTCTAGTAATTTGAATTCACCAGCAGCTGTGTGGGAGAGAGAGATGGGCAGTCTCCTCCCATGTACTTTATAAAGTCAGCTATGAGTCAGTTCTGACTTGTCAACAAAGAGATGCATTGATAGTTCATCTATAGAGAGAATATGAAGGCTGCACTGTTAAATACATTGCATAAAATGTTTCAGTACTTATAGAAATGGGTTTGTGGTATTTATTTCTGAAAAGCTACACGTTTTACATTGCATAAATGTCTTTCTTCCTTATAGTCTCTTCATTTATGCTGTTTCTTGTTATCTGACTATTGTTTATAACTTTTGTTCTGTAGTCAGTCCCTCCATTGTCTAATGTCTGTGTTTTACTATCATTTTATACTGATATCAGGTTCCTTTTTAATTTCTTTGTTCTGCAAAAGACACATTTTGCTGTTTGGAAGAATTGGTTTTAAAAGCCATCAAATCGGCTTCAGCTCACAATTAGATTTTATTAGAAATATTTAAGTCACACAAAATATTACTAGTGATTTAGGGGCAGACAGGAAGCTTTTCCACCAGCTATAATTTCTTCTTTGCATATAAAACATCATTCCATGGGAAAAAAGAGAGGATTTAGATATACTTAACCAAGATGGAACACTGGTACTTATTTTAAATTCTGATACTTTCAGAGTGTTCTTAATACTGATCGGAAGTTAGCTAATAATATAGAACTATATTTTTCCTAGTGTTCTCTTTGTGTTTTAGATTTTAGCCACTGTTTCCTTTTTAAAAAATATTTTATATTGGTGTATTTACAAAGCCACACAGGAGGAAATCACCCATCTTTCTCCTGCAGAGCAGCTGGTGGATTCCAACCACATACTAGTTTTCTATGTTTAACTACCCTGAGGTCTGATGATATAAATACTATTCCGTAGACACTAGAAATAAAAGCCTGAGGTACAGGGAGATGTTCAGCCTTCCATTCCATGAATGTGTGGAGATTCTCTCCCCCTATAGTATTACTGTCTCAGATAATGCAAGAATTTGTGGGAGGGTAAAAATCCTTTCTGACCCAACTAATGATAGTGAGGGAATGCGGACTGGGGAAGTAGCAACAGGAGTTCTGTGTGTAGGCAAATCAGAACCAAATAACTGGGACCACATTCCAGGATCTTAAATTTTTATTCAAAAGTCTGACCCACAGCTTCTTCCTATTTCATATAAACTTGCAGTTAATGTCCACTTGCAGCCAGTTAGTCTAGCTTTGTTGCTAATTCCAACTATTTTAAGACTTAGCAGATCGGAACAAAACTAGGTGAGATAAAGATTTTCTCCCCAAAAGGCTATGAAAAAAACTATACTTTCCTAACATTTAACAAAAAAAACCATGTCAGGATTATGCAAGGTATACACAAGCAATAGAAATTAATAATTCATTTCAATTTTGTGTATAGCCACATTTTAAATTAAACCCACATTTGATTTTAAGGAGATAATTTTAGTGTATTTCATTCTCTCTATTAAGGTAATGTTATGAACTTTAGAAAATTATTAGCAGAGAAATCTAGCCTTTGAAAATGGGGTCATGCATTAGAAAAACTGACAGATCCTATTAAATCTGTTAAAATGCTTAAAAAGTCATTCTGGTTTGGGGATGGGAGAATATACTAATTTATATGTATATTGCATTTTTTTATAATTCTCTGTCTATTAAGCAAATATTAGTTATTCATAAATCAAGAACTAGTGTGGAAAATAATTGAGAAGGCAGCCAGCCAATAAATCACCAAACTAAAGCTTGAACCCTCAAATATTCATGATTGTATCAATCCATATTTCCTTACTAACTGTGCAATTATTTGAGGCTGTTGTTGTTCTGTATCATTGAGTCAGAACCAAGCCCTGTAGAGAAGCTGGTAGATTTGAAATTCAGGACTTTGGGTTGGTAGCACAACTCTTATGTATCTCATAGCTACTGTGAGATTTTGGAGTCAGTTATCATGCAATAAAGTGCCTATTTCTGCACAATTCAGAAAAAAAAAAAACAACAAAATGTATCTCCCAAAATTAAGTAGAACACAGTTTATAAAATGAAATAATGAATTGACCCATGAAAATAACTCAGAATGCTTAATTTTTTTCTTACAATTTCACGTTTGTGTGTGTGATACAATTGTGAGCCAAAACTGGAGATACTTTTCTAAAAAGTTTACCTCATTTATTGCTATCAATACCTGCTCTGATGTAGTCCTAATGTTCTGTGCTGTTGAACTGGGATTGCAGTGCAGTTTTTTACCAATAAGCCACCAGAGGTCCTTGTGCTTTTGAATTGGAACTGACTCTCAGCTGATTGTCTGGTGGTTTTCAGTCTGTAAATCACACAAGAGGAAATTGCCCGATTTTCTCCAGTGGGGTAGTTGGTGGTTGTGAACTGCCGGCATTTGGGTTGACCCCTTTACTCATTATTCCACCACGGATCGCTGTTGTGGTCCTATTGCTTAGAATTAGACTCAAGTTAAGAAGTGTGAATGGGAGCTGCTATTCTCACTGTAGATAAATTAGTTCTTCTATTGATGTATCTTTAATAAAATCTCCTAAATCATCAAATAGTTATCACTAAAAGTGGTGTTAGAAGACCCAATAAAACAATCATGATTTGAATTCTGGTATGGCAATATGCTTAAGGAATGTTAAAATAGAAGAAGAAAAAATCAAAGACCAAAATGAAAGATGAAGCATAAATAAGTTATTTTTTTATTTTCTTTTTTCATATGACACCTGGGTATTTTTCATCTTTTTTGACATTCGTTTATACTTTTATGAAATAATAAAGAAAATCTTTCTCAAATAGGTATTTTATTCAATTGAGTTAGTAGTTCTCACCAAATTTAACATATTGACAGGTACACATCTTTTCTTAAAATTCCTAGGCTATCATGTGGGTTTCACCAGAGTGATTTAGCTTTTTATTGTCTCTCTAACTTCCACTCTATACTACATTGTGATTATAAACCTCACTTTATACACAGAATGTTGTTGATTGCCATTGAGGATGACTCATAATGACCCTATGAACAAACAACCTGAAGTCTTTCAGTAACTATCTCTGTTTCTCAAAGTTCACAGAGTTTCCAGAGCCATTTTGTTTAGGAAGAGAATGACACTTCTGCTTCCAAACATGTCTCAATCTGGAAGCTCCACCAAACACTGTCCATCATGGACAGCCATTATGGTATTGGACACCCAAAAGGCACAGAGTTCAGCATCATAGTCACTCTAGGTTACCTCAGTACAGCAAATTGACAGACCAGTGCTGCACCACTGAGAAGAATGTTCTTCTAAATTATAATTACACTAGGCCCAAGAGCCTATCTAACTTTTAAATACAAAGGCCCTCCAGGAGGAAGTGTTGACTCTAAACAAGAGGCTTAAATACAAATCAACCAAACAATCCACAGGGCCCTCATCCAAAACATAAAATACCAGAGTAAAGATTAAGTATGAACTATTTACATTCTACTCTGGGAGACTATTCAGCATTGACTTATTTTGATATCAAATTATGTCAGAGTCTGTGCTAGGATAATTATTGAGTATAGGCTTAATTTTGTGTATTAGCCCATCAGTTCTTCTGAGTGCTATAGACAAGATTGCTAATACTTGTGAATTAAAACTAAAATTTTAATTTTACTCAGAGCAGAAATTTCTTTAATTATAAAAAAAAAGAAAGTTATTTGATTGAACCTTCTTGAAAGATTGTAACATAAGTGACTTTTCTGGAATAAAAGTGATAGGAAGACATTGGGACATTCTTCCTTTTCCTGCCATTGATGACAGGCTGTGTTTATCTCCACAGCACTGTTCAACCTCATACCAGTGGGACTGCGCGTTGTTGCCATCCAGGGCGTGAAGACAGGGTTGTATATAGCCATGAATGGAGAAGGTTACCTCTACCCATCAGTAAGTAACATGTCAAATATGCTGAGCTTGTCAGATGACAACAAAGCCAGGAAGTTCTGTTTCTTGATTCTGCTCTTTCAAATTTTCTATTTACAAGAATTCGTCAGTGTGATGAATAAGAATGTAGTTCATAGTGGGATAACATTACTGCTTTTTTGAAATGGTACATTTGCCAGATGAAAGAAAAGTAATAGTTCACATAAAGTAAAGCAAGTGAAAGTTGATGTTATTTGTATTTAGAAATGTACTTGTGCTAAAGAATTGCTTAGTGAAAATTTGTTTATAAGAGAAAGGTAACTTCTGGTAAAAGAGTATATTAGTTTTGAAAAAAATTTAAATTGTGTGTTTATTTTACTGGGTAAAGATCTACTTCTAATAGGATAATAATGTGTATTTCATGTATATCTTAGCAAGTCTTTCTGTTTTGTGTTACTTTTCATTATAACTTAAGGGCTTTTCCTCATGTGTGGCTTGTTATGGAAAAGTTACTAAATATTCACAAATAATTTGCATTTATACTGTTCTATATAACATCCACACATTAAAATAAATTAATTCTGGCTACATGTCCAAGCATTAGAGGCAGGTGAATATAATTCTTTCCATAATTCCTTGAGCAACATTTGATAAAATTGATATTGTAATTTGTGAAGCCTTAATAATATTTTATTTGGACTTGCATATCATCTATATTTAAATTATTTAACTCTGTTGTTAAGTATTATAAACAGTAAAAGTACAAGTGCACTTCATTTTATTGCACTCTGCTTTAGTGATCTTCACAAACACTGTTTCTTATAAATTGAAAATTTATGATCACTCTACATTAAGCAAGTCATTGGGCATTGCATTTCCAATAGCATTTGCTCACTTCATGTCCTTGTCATATGGTGATAATTCACATAGTATTACAAAGTTTTTCATAATGCTATCGTACATTTAATATACTGCAGTGTAGTGTATGCATAACTTTTAGAAGCACTGGGGAACCTAAATAACAATTGTCTCATTTTGTTGAAAGGGTCTGAAATCAAATGTGCACCCATGTGTATAAGCATAAACCTGTATGTCTATATACTATGTATGTATACTATATACATGTCCACGTACTTGAGGAGAAAGAAGGGCTTGAGGCCAATCATGGGATATGATACATTTTCATCAGTAAATTTGGGAATTCCTGTCAAAGGAAAACAAAATGCAAGCTGTGATCCCTTTCCTGCTTAGTTCAAATATGCATGCTCCAGTTATTCCTGAACTTAACTCCCTGAAGGCCTTCCTTGTGCATAACTGGATCCCACATTATGTATGTTGTGATCTGTTACACAAGATAGAAAACCTGTGTGTTGTAAATTCCCTATAACTTCCTTTAGGAAAAATCAGATACAGATAAAGATCATTTTCCAGTGATGCCTTATTTCATATGCAAGTCAATGTTATTGATTTGACAGGAGTTGTTATTTGTGTCTCTTCCTTTTCCCCCAAGTAATCTTTGAGAAGCCGAAAAATCATTGTATGTGATATCTGCCATGCACCTCATTTTGTTTCTGTGGATGGTTTAATCACATTTTTGTGCTCTGCTACATATGTTGATGTCAGGGGAAATGTAAATGCTTGTATTTTCTACTACTGAGGAAAATGCCTTGTGTACTTTTTTTCCCCTTGATTTTACATCTTGATGCCTTTTTTTTTCCCTGTAGAAAGGTAGAGCACATCATCTCGCATAAGGTATATTGGCCAAAAACAAAAGTACTGATTATATTTGATGTAGTTTAAGCAGCAAAGAAAGAGAAGATATGAGTATTGTGTAAATTTTCTACTCCCCTCTCCTGCTGTTTTAACTATGGTTTCTCCGTGTAAGAATCAGACCTTGTGAAGCTTACTTGGCCTTTTCTCCCAGGATTTATCCCAGGGCCAATTTCAACCTTATCATTTGGGTCATTGTTCTTTATTGTTACTTGCCCAATTCCTGAGTCTCCACTTAACTAGCTTCTGGGATTCTTCTCTTTTGGTGATTCATGGTGTGACTTGCAGGGTTTGATTTCATTCTTCATCTTTGATTTTCACTCTGAACCTGAGTTTGAGAAGAGATACACTTTTTGTGCCCAATTTTGGTCCTAAGACCTTCCACTCAACCTAGGCTAGACTAGGCCAGCACCTTATAATTCTCAGATATCTTCTAGGAATTGAACTAAAAAAGTAGAAATCAAAAGTTATCTTAGGTCTACGGCCATACCACCCTGAATGCGCCCGATCTCGTCTGATCTCGGAAGCTAAGCAGGGTCGGGCCTGGTTAGTACTTGGATGGGAGACCACCTGGGACTACAAGGTGCTGTAGGCTGAAAAAAAAAGAAGAAAAAAAGTTATCTTAGGTCTTTACTAATACTTTGTAAAGTGTTCTCTTTGCTTCAAGTGGTGAAATTTGGACTTTATGTATTTTTGCAGAATGAGTGTTTGGTTCCCTTTTCCCCATACATGGAATTATTTATTCAATAATTAGTTACAGAGTCTACTATAATAACACTATGACTTAAGAGAATAAGTATACAACATAACATATTAGATATAATAGTAATGATAACTATAACCAACTGTCATTGATTCTGGTTCATAACAGTCTTAGAGGATAGACTTCTTGTTGTATGCCAGTGAATTAAAACTGACCCATAACTTGACCCTCCAGTGGGTTTTCAGAGGTAGCAAATTGCATGAGAGGAGATTGCCCATTACCCATCCTTATCCCACATAGCAACTGATGAATTTGAACCATGTGCTTTGGGGGTTGCAGCACAAATTCTTACCACTAGGCCAGCAGAGTACCTTATAGGATAGACTAGAAATGCCCTATTGGGTTCCTGGCTCTGTAAATCTTAACAGAAGCAGAATGTTTTATTTTTTTTCTTCCATGGAGCCGATGGTGGGTTTGAACTATAAATCTTTTGGTTAACAGCCAAACCCTTAGCTTACTACATCATAAAACTTTTCAGTAATAGCTATACTTGTATAATAATTTTTGCTGTTGTTTTGTACAGTCAAGTCATAACTGATCCATAGCTATTAAGATTTACAGACCCAGGAACCTGACAGGTTTTCAGAGGCATTTCATTGAATGGGAGGAGACTGCTCATCCTTCTCCCATAGAGCAGTTGATGCATTTGAATCAAGTGCCTTCGTGACTGCAGTGCAGGTTCTTGCCACTAGCCCACCAGATCTCCCCATAAAATAATGTTGTTTTATGTGCCATTGAGTCACTTGTGACTCATAGCAACCCTATGTCCAACAGTCCTAAACCCTGCTCCATCTTGTGTCAATCGTATTATCTCTGATATCCCTACCCCCATTACCCCAGTCAATGAATCAATCCATATCATTAAGGGTCTTCTTCTCCTGAGCTGTCCCTTCACTTTCCCAAGCATGTAGGTAATACTACTAATAGTTGTTATTGTTGTATATATATAAATATTACCTACTGTTACTAGTACTGTTATTACTATTAGTATCTATTATACTACTAGTACCGACTAGTAGGTAATATTTATATGCTATATTTTTCCCAATGATGTTCTTAGCACTTTATCTACATAATCCATCATTTAAGCCCTACAACAAACTTACTAAGTGCATAATATTAATAATATTAAATGAGAAGACTTAGGTCCAAGGTCAAAATTAGTTGATGGAAAAAAGTAGGGCTTGAGCAAAATTAGTCTAAGTCATAATATTACATTTTTAAACCAGTTTAATATGCAGCTTTCACATGCCAAACATTTTCAAAATATAGTCTAACACCTATTCTAAGAAGAATTTACAAACACATAGTGATGTAATTAAAACCTTTAGGGAATTGTTACCTTGGAAATAAAATTAATTTAGGGCAACTATTAGGAAGTATCAATCCATCTGGGGTAATGGGAGTAGGTGGGTCAGAATCAGTGAGATTGGCACAGGATAGAGCAGGGTTTAGGGCAGTCGTACAAGGGTCACTGTGAGTCGCAGGTGACTCAATGGCACATAACAACAATAACAAGAAGTATTCTTTGGAACATTGTAATCTTTTTCTTTGCTAATTCTAAAAGTAGAATTAGCAGGAAACTGTATTTGTATATTTGCTAGACAAAACTTGATGGAAGCGTGATGGGACTATGGCCTATGTATTGGGCTCGGCTTCTGTCAAAAAGATCTGCAGCTCAAACCCACCACCTGATAATCCATGAAAAAAAAAAGCAACAAAAAACAAAACAACAAGTAATGAGCTATTGTAATAAATGTTTACAGCTTCAAGAAAGCTATGGGAGCAGTCCTATTTACTGAACTGGAGCTGATTCAATGGCAATGAGTTTTATATACTGGAAGTTCCATATGCTTTAAAAATACTGTGTCTAACATTTGATCTTTAAATTTGAAAAGTATGGTGAATATTTTTAAGACAACTAAAACATTTTGAACTAAGTTAAAAGGGTTTATTTCCCCCATAAACAAAACTCCAGTAGAGATCAGACTTAAAGAGAAGTCATTGCTAAAGTTTTTATTCTGGGAAAGTAGGTACTAAATTGCAAGTTATGCTCACTTTTAAAATATCAACTTAAAGTATATACAACGGAAACTAGTGTCTACTAGGGAACCAATTTTGTTGAAATGTATACATTTAACAAGCATGCGATGATGTATTCATATCATCCAAAGTGAATTCTGTTAATTGAAAATTGTGTCAGTTTTTTAAATCAAAGTGCATCTTTCTCCACTTACAATTACTGTCCAAAAAAAAAAAAAAACCACAACAAAAACCATATACAATGTACCTGATAATTCCCTTACTCTTGCCCCACCCCTAGGAAACAAAACAAGGCATCTTGATTGAGATGTAAATAATTACATTTCAAAGCTGAAGGCACTTGCTACCCATGGAATCTTTTCTTCATTGTGACAATGGCAATTAATTTTATGGTCCAAATGATTTTAGTATGCCATTTGATGTTGCATCTCAAGAGATTTAGTGCCAG